CATGTATCATGACAATGTGAGTGGAACATGTTGGGAGTAAAAGGTCAGCTGATGGATGAGTAACTCTCTCCTTACTCCCTCTGACAGTAGCTGAGAAACTAAAAAACTCCTGACTGACAGCTCAACGGGTTTTCTATGAAATTATCTTCATGACAGGAAAAGTGAGCTCCCTTGTCATTTATTTGGAAATGATTCAGAGTGATGACACATAACACAAACAAATGAGAGGAAGAGGAGGAGGATCACAAGAGGCCAAAAACTGAATCCCTACAACGTTTCCCACCATGCCGCTCGTGCACTGCTTCACAAAGCTCACACATAGGAAGGGGGGGGAGGGGGGGGAGGTGTAAGATGTGGTCGCCAGACTCGCCACAGGGCTGTACATATGCAGAGCAACAATGGGACCCGCATTCCTCCTTAATGTCCTCCCAGGGTTCAAAATTTAAAAAAAACAGTCCCTGCTGGCTCTCTAATTGTCTGCATCTAATTGTAGAGCAGCGGAAACGGGTTTAGATTATAATTAAATAAATAAAAAAACATACATGGCTGTTAATGTGTCAGCAGAGTAAAACAAGAATATTTAAGAGTTGCTGGAATGATACAAAGAATATCAACCAGAAACTTTGCACCATTATATTATAACATGCAAAACGTTATTTGTCATTAAATGTAGTTGCTCAAATTAGCCTATTAATGTAGTTATTTAAAAAACAACAACGTATCTACACTCCTGCACTTTAACATGTATATCTTTGATTGCACAGCTCTGGAGAACCCTCTATATTGTTATTACATATGTACCATTGTCATCACTGTTTTTACAAACTTACATCTCTTACCTCCAGCAAGTATTTTTACATTCAGTTGACAAGCCTGAATAAATGCTGTATTTAATTTTCATTTTTAACCAGTAAGAATGTTAAGTTAAATCTTTAATGTAGAAATCTCTTCTTATTCTTATTTTCTTTACATTTTAAGTGCTTATTTATTTTGTATCTATTCTTATATTGTTTTATTTGCTCTGATAACCTGCTGCTGTAACACCACAATTTACCAGTTTGGGATCAATAAAGTCATTCTATTCTATTCTAAAAAAATAAAATGATGATGGCGATGGCAAAATGTTAAGTGTGTTGAAAATATCAACACTTCCTTGTTGCTGCTGTTTATTCTCACATTTTTTAAAATGCATGACTGATGCGCCCGGAGTGTAGTGGTTGGTGCGCTCGCCCCATGTACAGAGGCTGAAGCGGTCAGGGTTCAAATCTGACCTGTAGCTCCCTTCCTGCATGTCATTCCACACTCTCTCTCTCTCTCTCTTTCTGATTTCTGACTCTATCAGCTGTTCTATCGCTTAATAAAGGCATAACAGTGAAACAACACACTGACAGTTTACACTGAATCTGCTCCGTTATCCAGTGTTTCTTATTTTAGAAAGCAGTAAATAATTATAGACCAAGACTGATGGTGTTTATAAGGCTGCTGGTTTTTTATCCTCTCAAATTAGTCAGAACATGTTAAAGAAAAACATAAGCCAAGAAGCCATAGTGGCAATATAAAACACAAAACCTTGGCAACAAAACAAATACTTCTGCGGTTCTAATTATAGTGCGTAGAGGGGTGTGTTTTATTCTGAAATGTTTAATGAAACTAAATCACTGACACACACTGAGTGAAACTATTCTCTCACGGGCAGGGCTCAAACTGCAGCAATCATCCTCAATAATGGCATTTTTCATGTTATTCCTTTTTGCTTGGATTAACTATAACCTGGATTAAGAAGAAGCAGGAACCCTATATGAACACTAGAGGGCAGTATTTTTATTCCACAGGAAAGAAAAACTAGTATTTCACACCTGCATCCACAAGATGGCAGTATTGAAATATGCTATGAGGATTCAAGTTACAGCAGGTGAGCAATCAAAGTCCCATTTACACAATGAGGCGTGCAAGATGGGACCCCAAATGCCTTTTTGTAAACACTCACAACTGGAATTATACAGGATGTTAACACAGTTTCTTCAGGTGTTGTTTCATATTAGATCAAGTTGTCAGAGATAACTGTTTTAAGGAGCAGTAAAGCAGCTACTATGTTAGTGTGACAACCTCATTAAACCCCAATTCTATACCTGTATTTGTGAAATATGATGATAGATGGGTTAACAAGAATCAATACATGTGTGTTAGCTTGAAATCTCACAGTCCTTGCTAAAAGTCTGTTTCATGCATTTCTATAAGGGAATATTTCTGCAAGTTGCCTTATTCATTTAACTAGAACAACATTTTTGATTCATTTCTGGCGTTTTTGTTTGTCAAATTGTGTTTAGTTTGTGGGGATTATTTATAACAATGATTGTGAGACACCATTAGGGAAGCTTAGAAATACAGTGCCACTTTTTCTTTTACCTGCAGAAACAGAGAACCATAATTAAACATCGATCAGGTGTCCACTTGACAGCTTAAGAGCAGCCTGTCAAATTGTCGCTGGTATATTGCTCCCCTGGCTGTTCCCTGTGATTCAAATCGATATAACGCTGCAGGTGAGACCAAAAAAATAAGAAAAAAGACAAGCCTTAGCAAAATGTCCTTTGTCTCGGTGCACCAGAAAGGAAAGAGTGGAAATAGAATCTCAGATGTAGTTGACAGGACCCGACAGGCACAGCATCACCTTTGACATGAAAGCTGGCTCACGTAGAAACACACACACACTCAGATTAAATCAGGATCAAACAACAGGCAAGATCTCTGAAGGCTACTCAAATATAAATACTGAAATAGGAGAAAGAGAGTGGAAGACAGAGTTCAAGAGTGGAAGAAATGTTTACAAGTCGAAAAAAGGAAGACAGTGAACATGATTGGAATAATAATAACTATTATTGGTATCATCTTTTTTTAATTTAGCATCAAAGAAACGGGGGAGGGGGGTTATAAAGTGCTTTGACTGCTTTACTTTTGTGGAAAGCATGAGAACTCAAACAACAAAGTAACCGAAACAACACAAGACCCCAACAGCAAAAGAACCAATACAGCAAAAACTAACATATGAATGAATCAGAATAAACTAACCCAACATCAGCAACACAAGAAGCCAACAGCAACACATAATATCCATATTTCTGTCCCTGATAGAAAATTGTCCATGTCAACCTATGTTATGTT